TCCTACAGCCGCTCATCTTTTAGCGGTATGTGGCTACCCTGATCGTTCCTTTCCCTTTTAAAGTCCATCTTTTGCTTAACATTGGTAGGCACATGAACTTCTGGTAGGATTGCATATTTCCTTGTAAGAAATTCTTTTTTCAGAAACATGAATGATGGCATTAGTGTTTTAGTGCTAAGGTGTGCCAATGCTCTTATTCATTATGATGACAATGCTATGTGCTAATATGATTGATTTTGTTCACTATATACCTCAGTTGGGGGGTCAAACCATAAGAAAGAGTACCAACTTAGTACCAACTTCTCATGAATCACATTCTTTTAGCAAAGAAAGGGGATAAGTATACTTCCATAAGCATATTGTAGTGAAAAAGAAGTGGTTTTCCGGCACACCTTCAGCAACATTGGTTTGACAGCCTGACCCGATTCCCTTAGCATGTTCTGGGTGTGTTCATACTGAGGCCTTCACTTCATCTGAAACAATACTATTATATCAGAGAAATGAGACCCCCCCCCCCTTCGTATAGAACCTTATTTCCATAGTGTTGATTCATAGTTTTACAATACAGGTTCTAGCAACAATTTGTGAAGAGCTCTCTCAAGATAGCATTTTACTCATCTATATATCAGCGTCAGGTTAGTTCTTTCTCTGGCACTACAATTTATGTTGCACTTTTGTTTTCAATCACTTCTGAGATTTGTGATTATCTTGTCAGGTTCTGCTGAGCATAGTTTTGCTAGTCAAAAGCTTGGCTCTAGCTCATCGTCTCGTGCGAGGGCTGCTTCTACCTTCCCCATTGATAAGCCAAATTCACATATCAGTTCTGATAATCATCTATGGCTTGGTCCCCGTGGAAGTGGAGGTAAGCTCTATGGCAATGTTCTGTTCCAACAAAGTCCACTTACTATAGGATGGCTAGATCAGTGGATCCCTTTCTTTTAGGATGGCATACCCTGCACTTGCTTTTTTACACTATTGTCTTTCTTTCAGGTCCAAACAATCTTTATCCGGAAGATCTGATTCCATTTACAAGATATCCACTGTTCCTTGTAATTGATAGTGAAAATAGCCATGCATTCAAGGCAGGTTTGTCAGAACTTAATCTTGGCTTGTAGAAGAAAACCATTACCATCGGCACTCTATTGCTTTTCTGAACTAACATATTTAGCAGATTGCACATGCCATCCTTTTTTCCTGCACACATGTTAATGTTTTATTGTTTCCTTTTGCATTTGAATGGTTGCATTTACTCATTTGGTTCTCAAGGTGAACTTATCTCCTAGTGGAAAAAATGCGAGCATTTACATTGGTTTCTTCAACATTATTGTTATCTGGTTCGATCTATCTTTAAACATCTAGAATATCTTTAGATGGTTTTCAGCTTGTTAACTGGTAATAGCAGAGGATAGCTAAGGACTGATTTGTAGCGTTGTGTGAATAAGCTGGAATTGTAGTTGGAGCTTGGGCGTGATTATTGTTAAGGAGCCTTCTGTTTGTATTGGAATGTTTAGATGAAATATATGCCTCCTTTTGTACATGAAAAAACCCCAGCTTGCTTGTTAGCATGTGAACCCATCCTTAAAGTCTCCAATCTGTCTGTAGCAGTACTGCCTAACAAAATTCTTTGAGCAAATTATCATTTTGTTGTGTAATTTGCCAGGCCATACATAATGCAGAGAAGGGAGAACCAGCTGCTTTATTACTTTCTCCTAGGACATCATCAGCCATGCCTGGAGTAGAATCCACGGCTCACGGAAGCCAGTTTACATACTTCCTCACTGCTCCAATGCAAGCCTTCTGCCAACTGGCTGGAATAACTTCTGACATAGACACCGTATGTTCTCTGTTTGAGGAGTTGACTATTCCTTATTCCCTAAAAAAAATCATTTCTATAGTTAGATTTGTGCTGCTTGGTTTTCAGGATACGTACGCAAATGCAGAGAACATACTTTTCTCTGCTTTGGAAGAATACGAAGGAATCCTCTGCACTTCTGTTGGGTTAAACAATGTCTGGGGGCAAATTTTACCAGACCCATTTCTCAGACGGCTGATTCTCAGGTACCCTATACATATATTTTCAACATTCAAAGCTATATATATGGACATCTGGCACTTAGCAAATTATAGTTTAACCCTCAATCCATCTCATTTCTGCCATTTATGGATCTCAAGTCAGGCTACTCCTTCAAAGTATGTCCAGAAAAAGAAGAAAAAAAGGAAAAAGAAATGGGCATAAACAGTTGAAAATGGCTGTCAACTTGTATGTAGTATTTCCAACAAATTGCACCAGTTTATTGTCGCTATAGTATTTCTTTTACATACTTGCCTCTAAAAATGCAGTATTTCAAAAGAGAAGGCACGTTGAGAGTAGCTACCAAGCAAGTAATGGTCCATTAGATGCTTGGTGCTGACGTGTTGAGGGTTGTGTAGGAGTTAGTAACCATTAACTATGCATGTTAGGGGAAAGAAGGGGTGTTATAAATTTATCTTTCCTAGTTCATCAGCAACCTTACAGGCGATGTTAAAAGTTCTAACAAACTTATGATGCCAGCAAAATGATTATGTTCTGGGAAAAAATATGATGCGAAAAAGTAGTACAAATGTTATTTGATTTGTCCTTAACTGTTATGTTTTTTGAGATGTTTTTCTTCCCTCAGTAAGGACAGGGTGCCTTTGGGTAATATATGATTGAACATATGACATTCTCTGACTTCACGTTTCTTGACAATCCATTGATACAATTGATTTGAATATTTAGTTCTATTTTTCCTGCAGTATGAACCATTTGGAATTATGCCCTGCGCTAGCTAATTATTTTTCCCATTGCAGGTTTATTTTCTGTCGAGCAGTGCTCTTCTATTTCCACTCAGATGAGCACGAACATCTACCGACCTGCCTACCCAGTCTTCCAGAGTCAGTCTCTCCAAATGCAGAAGCCATCAGAACACCTATCCTTTCGCTCGCAGAAAACCTTGTCGTCAGCGATCGGTTTAACTTCGCACGCAACAAGAAATGATGATCAGCAGCAATAACCATAACTCATGCCTTCTGTAGATACCTCCGTGGTAAATATAGTCCAGCAATTTGTTGATTGTTTTGCATTTATACAGCCAGCGGAGCAATGACTCGGCACCAACTAGCTGCTGCTGCAGCAGCAGCAGCCTGGATGGTGAATTGAATGGCGATATGAAGAATTTTGACCTGCTGCTTCATCTCCGTTGAGCGTCTGTACAAGTTTGTTTAGGTGTTCCTAATTTGCTCTAGGCACTGTAGGCATGTAGCCGTGTCTTCGATTTTTCTTTTTTGTTGTCTTGGAGAGGACGGTTTGTAAGCTGGAAGAGGCGTTTTTTAAGTACTCTGGAAGGCAGATTGTTTTGTAGAGTTTGGTTAGCTCAGCATATTTTACGGCAGTTTACGATATCCAACTTTCATTGCGCTATGTTTGCCTCGTGCTCCTAACTTTTGTAATTGTTTGTTGTTCTGGTTCAAAATTGCTCAACCTCGTTCGGTCTGCTTCTTTCCGGTGTTTCATGGATTGGTAATCTGAACGTGCCTAAAGTTCGACCAGGTACAGTATCGTCCAGTTAATGTGGATAAATGAGTCATGAGTGAAATGAAGCTGTATAGATGCCAAAGTTTACCACCTGTGTGCCAATTCTATGACGATGGTAGTTGAATTCAGAATCCCAGTTTCGGTGTTTTCCCTTACCATGTGCTGGGCTCTCGCAGTTCCAAGCTCCAACGGTACAAAAATTCTCTGGTATGACTGTATCAAGATCATTCTGAACCGAATGTAAGACAGTTTAACGGTTATAGACTAAGTTGCAGAACATTGACAGATACCTCACATGGAAAATAGACCGTGTCCGGACTTGAAGCGACCAAAAGCTTCGCCTATGCCAGTTGTTTTGTGTGTGTGTGTGTGTATACAGTAGTTTCGTGACGGTGTCCGCATGAATCCTCACGGGCACTGGGCAAGACGGCGGATGCTTATGGTAGCCACGAGCTGGCGGTGCACGCACGCGCGTCGGCACGCAAGCGAGCCAGCTGGGCGCTTGCCCCTTGTAAATCCAGCGTAGCCCACGGTTTGTACCGCCGGTAAACGTACTACTACTTGCCCCTACGGCCGTACCCTCGAATTCTCTTCTCGCAGCCTCGGTACACACGCACCCACAACACAAAGCTGCACTGAATCCCTTGCAAGCGAGGCGCAAGTACCATCACCCTCACCTCGTGACATATAAGGGCTCGGCGGTGACAGGCTGACGGCGCACGCCATGGACGGTGACCGGAAGCGAGGTGCAGCGGCTGTACGACGCGTGCGGCGCCGTGTTCTCGCCGTGGAGGGGAGGAGGGCTGCCGACGCTCACGCAGATCAGGTGGCTGCAGGACATCCTCGGTACGTCACGTCTCACGACCTCATCGTGCATTCGTGCGTGTTGGGGATCCATCGGGGTACGGCCACAGGCCACATGAGCATTCCGTCAGTATTTTGTTCCTCGCACGCAGACGGGATGAAGGCGGCCGACGTCGGGATCGACGCCGGCGGCGGAGATGGCGAGAGGTCATCCTCCTCCTCTTCGGACGACGAGAGGAGCCCGCGGGGGCGGCGGTTTCTCTCGGCGCGGGCATTCACGCGGATCACCTACTCCCTCCGTCCCGTTAAGATTGTCGCTCGGGAAGCGGGATTGTGAGGGGGGCACGGTTTTCCAACGACAAACTCAATGGGACGGAGAGAGTACGTGCACATCCACGAGTGCGACGATTTCTCGGTAGGCGCTCCCGTTTTTCTTCTTAGGAAGATGAAAAACGGCTTATGCTCATGCTGATTTGTTGTGAGAGAAAAACACGGTTCTAATTGAAAAAACAAGTTGAAAAAGATGGATTATAAGAGAAATCAACAGGGCCGAAGATGCCTGATGATGGTTTCGGCCCGGCCGGGTGGCGCTGGTGTTTTGCAGATAGGCGTGTTCTGCTTCCCGGCGGGCGCGACGCTGCCAATGCACGACCACCCGCAGATGGCGGTGCTCAGCAAGCTGCTCTACGGCTCCATGCGCGTCAGCTCGTACGACTGGGTCACCGCGCCGTGCTCCGGCCCAAGAAAGGGTAAGGCTAGCGTGCTGCCTCGCTTCGAATTTGGCTTCTCTTGGCCAATTGAGTTTGTCATTGTACATATCGATAATATAAGACAGGTATAAAAGTCTCAGGATACTTACGCAAGCCTGCAAAGTTTTTCGTGACTCGGCATGAAACATGAAAGGGATCCCAACATGAAACGGCGTAAGCCATGGGCTGTGGAAAAATGCAGAGCTGTGCAGCTGGCGCTCCTGCTGGTTGCGGCTACGAGCTCACGAAACAACTGCACGGCTAGTAGTATTCTGTGTATCTGACGTTATTATTCTACGAAAAGAAATTACGTGACGGTAATTCCACTGCTCAATCCAGAAGTCCGCCCTGTTTTGGGATAAGGGTGACAGGGCGTAGAATAAATAAAGAAAGAAAAATAAAGTGAAAGAGATGGATTGAGTCTTGAGTGCTAGGCTAGGCACACTGAAAAGTTGAGTTCATGCATGCAGGCGGTTTAGCCAAGGTGGTGGCGGTGGACGAGCTCCGGGAGGCGCCGTGCAAGGCGTCGGTGCTGTTCCCCCGGAGCGGCGGCAACATCCACGCCCTCACTGCCGTCACGCCGTGCGCTCTCCTCGACGTGCTCGCGCCGCCGTACGCGGAGGACCTTGGGCGCCCGTCCACCTATTTCTGCGACACCCCTATTCCTGCTCTCCCAGGTACGCACCTACATGCATATGTATCATGTATGCCAGACCCTTTTTTATATATTTGTCGATAATACCGTAACGATTTCTTTCGCCTCCTGTTTTGCTAAGCCGTACAAAGACTCTAAAGAAGTGACGACGATGATACCATCTGTAATCTGTTCAGGTTTTGCAGTACTGGAAGAGGTACGCCTGCCTGAGGATTTTCGTGTTGTTGGCGCCCCATACGTAGGGCCCGAGCTCGCGGTAGATATGGACTTGTATGATGATGACTAGATAGCTCACTGTTTTTCTGAAGTGGCAATGTGCAAGTTGTGTGTCTCTGGAGAATGCATTGTGACATTGTGTGTTGTGTCTTTTGCTTGTAAATACATTTCCACTCCGCAGTTCATTCTCAGATTTGTCTTTGTTTGAATCTGTCTAGATAGTAATTGGGTGATCCAAGGATAACCATCACTTCTTTTTTTAGTCTTATTAGATATAAAATGGAGGGTCTAGATCAAATCTCCTCTCTTCACTTAATCTTTTCCTTTTCTTCTTCCTCCACGTGCCTGTACCCAACCTCGGTCTCGAGTCTCGAACGAGTCGCTTGCCCCGCTGCCTTCGCCTCCGCCTCCTACTAGCCCGGTTCCGGTGGCTCTCCCGCCTCCGAATCCGTCGCCCTCGACCATGACCCGACTCTAAAATCCATAGGATGTGTCTCCTCTCCTCCATCTTCTTCGGAGCTCCCCCGCCACCATCGTGTCCGCCTGGCTCCGGTGGCACCTCACAACCTTCGCTGCCGCCTACAACCGCCGCCATGCTAACCTGGTGGAGGTCGCTAGGCTATCTCCGTCATGCCCCCGCCCTTGCTCCACCCAACCGCCTTCCCCAACTGCCCGGCCGGCAGCGCCACCATTGCCTCGCCCTAGGCCACCCCTACGCCCACCACCATCACTGAGCCAACCTTCTCCCATAGCAATCCTTCTAAGCCCACCGGAGTTGGGAAAGAAGAACACGTGACACTTTTTGACTGGACAAAAAAAATCAAGTAAGCTTTACTCCTTTCTTATGCGCTTGTTTGGTTCGTTGCTAGAGTTTGCCACACTTCAAACATTTCCTGTTTATACTTATATATATCATTTTGTTTCCAAGAGTTATACCAATAGGATTACTGTATGCAACCGTGCTCGTGCCTTGTGTTTTAATCAAATTGATCAGCAGAATAAACACATGATGTAACTTCTGGCTAAGCCACCGTCATCATATTATAGGCAATGTCTCAATTATTTCCCACTATCAGCAATGAGCGCAGCTCAGGCACCACGACCATAGGTAGGTGCAAAACTTACACTGTTACAAACAATGCATGTCAACATATTAGTACCATATATCAGGGCTCGTCTCTTCTGAATCACCACCCTCACCGGAGCTCAGATGTCGACGACTCGGGACGCCACCGGCGAGCAGTTAGCAACGCGGCAGTTGCGCCGTATCTCCCCTTTCCTGGGGTTTTGCAGCTCCCCCATCTTGATCATCCCCTCGATGAAGGCCCTGAAGAAGGCGTCCTGGTCCTTGCTGAACCGCTTGACGACGCGGCGGGTCCTGGCGTTGTCAGAGAAGAGCGTCTGGTCGGAGTTGAGGAAGCCGCGGAGCGCGACGAGGTCCTTGAAGTACTGGTTGTCGAAGACGCGCGGGGTGGCGTCCAGGCCTCCCGTGACCTCCTCGTCGCCGCCCTTGGGGCAGAGCGCGTCGAGCGCGCGGCGGTAGGCGGCGTCCATGTGGGGGTCGGGGCGGCCGGATCCGGACTGGTTGTAGAGGCGGAAGACGATGGAGAAGCAGCGGGCCTCGCCGATGGAGTGCGAGCCCGAGAGCGCGACGAGGTCGGTGACGCTGAGGTTGAGCCCCGCGAAGAGGCGGATGAGCTTGCTCGCGTTGGCGCGCGGGCTCGGCATGATGTTGTCCGAGTCCTCCTGGCTCGCCGTCAGGCTGTCGTCGCGCCCGAGCCGCACCTCCCAGTTGGGCCCACCGGTCTGTGGCGACAGATCAAAACAAATGGAAGAGTCAGATGAAGTCAAACGACCTGACCCAACAGTCTCAAGTTTGAATACACATTTAAAGAATATTAATATTTATAATGAGCAATAACCAGTACTAGATTATTCACAATTTTTTTATAATAAATCTATTTGAAGATATAATATTAATATCTCTTATCTTTTATAAACTTAGTTAGATTTAAGATTGTTTTATTTATTGAGATTTCCAATCTTTTTGGATGGAGGGAGTAAGGTCCAACATTATTAGTAAGCCAGTGCAAACTATTTACCGACAGTAATGGTGGTGAATGGCGGCATGACACAGCATTCTTATGATCTTGCTTTTGTTTGTCTCACAAAAAAAATCAAAACAAAATAAGGCCCGTTTGATCCTTGAAATTGAATTCATTTTAATAATCATAATTTAGACATATATTAATTAAGCTAATATGATTGTATATAGATTATATTTATATATTATTGTTGACTATACAAGTGAGATATTTATGTGTTGCATTTCTACCATAAGAGACTGAACTGAAGAGCGTGTTATAAATTCTAAAATAGAAACATAGAATGCTGATCTATAGAATTAATTTCCATCTCACACCCTATGAATTTGAGATATACTTATATGTAAATTTTAAAAAGTGGTGCAATGTTAAATTTCAAGTAAAATAGTCTAATTTATTAAGTAGATTTCAATTTCTTCACATAAAAGGATCCAAACGACCCCTGAAAATGCATGGCTACCGGGAGCTTACAGGCCCACAGCGTGCCACACCCAAACAACATTAAGCTAAGTAGTATACTACGACCATTTTTCTCAAAAAAAAAAAGAGACGTAAGTGCGTTTATGGGAAAATTTGATTAACCAAGAGTACTCATGGACCAATGTTTCAGTTGCAAGTACAGTACATTATACATTTCATTCCAAGGAACATCGACAGGTTTTGTGCTACTATTACGTACGTTACGTGTAGTAGTACTCCTATACTATGATATCTCCTGCGCCAATCAATCCCGTTGAACCACCTGTCGACTGTCTACTTGCCAAGGGAACAAGAAGAGCAAGTCGTAGTACACCCAGCGTCCCAGCCTGGGAGCCACAAGGGGCATGGGCGCATGGGCATCGTCGCTTGTTTCCACGGCGCGATTCGAACCTTCGTGATGAGGACCAAGGGAAAGCACGCGAAAAGTACTCTGTTCCACGGGAAATCTCGTCCCCATCATCATCGCCCAATCTGGGAGAAACAGAATCCCCACCTCGGCGACGGAAGGGCCGGCAGCTTTGCCATTCGCGGCGCCAGTGTCCGCACCCGCGGGGCCCGGTACGGGCTGTCCGCGCTAAACACCGAAGCCTAGCAGCACTCTCGTGTCGTGCGCGCGGCGGGTCGAGCCTGGCCTTTCCCGGCTGGTTTGGTGCACCTGGTCTGGTCTGGCCGGCTGGGTCGCTGGCGCTCTCCCTGTCTGCAGTCTGCCAATTGCCATGAGGGAGGGAGGTGGTGTGAGGTGCACGCGACACGAGTGGAGACGGGTAGGCGCGTGATGCCAGTCCTGCATGTGCGCCTCATGCCCGCCGCCGCCGCGGCCGTTACAGGGTGCACACCTAGCTGGGATGTGCACCGTCCATGCCCGGTTCGTTTGACGGATAATCTATGGTTGAAAGTACCGTTGACTGATTTATTATGAGAGAAAAATAATATTCGTTAGCTGAAAAAGTACGGCTTATAAGCCAAACGAACGGGGACATGCATCGCCAGGCAACATGGTCAGTGCTAGGCAAATGATTGTGAACCGGTCGGCCAATTTGCACATCAAATGTTTTTGGTGTAAATTTTGAAAGCATCAATTGATTTTTCCTATAAAAACTAGTAGGAGCATACTGTAGATTGATAAAGATTGTACTGTAGTAAAACGGAACGATGCATGCTTGGTCGTGGACTCGTGGTGCCCACACGCAAAGTGATGGGTGGCACCAACGATTACTTGCGGACAATCCTCGAATGCCCATTTTGTACGCACTTGAACGTTACCCAGGACTTGGAAGCCGAACGCGACGCGAGACTAGTGGCACGAAAGGCGTTCCGAGGAACGCGATGCGAGGCTAAATGGTGCAAAGGCCTTGTGCGGCACACGCCGCCTTGGTTTGGTTGTCGAGCAGCACGGCACGAAGCACCCGTGCGCGCAGCGCTGCCGTGGTGGTAAAACCAAATCGTGAAAAAACTTTCCTAATTGATATTTATTCTCTTGTCTCTTATTCGCGGTGGATCCTGAAACTGAATGCTGCGGGAACACGATCAACGCAGAGTTCTGCACTGGAAACGCCAGGCAGCGAAACGCTGGATTCTGGAGTGCAACCGGCAGACAAAGGGGACGCGGATTTGAACCGGAAACGGCAGACAAAGCGGAAGCGAAACGCTGGGTTTCGCACGGCAAACGGCAGGTCGCAGTAAGAGATTGAGGAACGGCATGCGCATCGGCATCGCATATATCCGGCGAAGTGAACAGAGCAATGGATCTCTGCAGGGTGCGGGGGGAGGTGCGTACCAGGACGACGGCGTCGCGGGCGGCCATGATGACGATGTCGGCGCAGGAGACCACGCCGGGGCAGCGCTCCTCCAGCGCCTCCTTGATCTTGTCGACGACCTCGAACGAGCGCAGGGAGTCGATGTTGGACAGCGCGTCCTTCTCGCCGGGCATCGTCGTCGTGGCGTCCATCAGCACCGAGCCGTCGCACCCCTGCAGCCGCCCCGGCCCCGCCACCAGCGAGAAGGAAAAACAGAGAGAAGCCATCGCGTCAGATCGACTGCAAACGGAGGAAGGAAAGCCACGTAGTAGGGCAACCGGAGCGAGATGAGATGCGTGGGCGGGGCTCACGTTGACGAAGCAGTCGTGGAACTGGAGGCGCATGACGGAGGCGACGCTGCGGGCCTCGCGCGCGCGCGCGCGCGCCATGGTCTCGCGGACGATGTCCTCGGCCTCCGGGCACGTCTCGGCGTAGTACCCGACCTTGAGCTCCCTCGCCGCCGCCTCGCCGCGGCAGCAGAGGAACGCGAGGAACACGGCGACGGCGGCGACCAGGGGGAGGCGCCCGCGGGGGACCGCCATGGATAGAGAAAGAGAGGGAGGGGTGGGGCAAGGACGCCACGCTCTGGTGGTCCGCGGCTGTTCCGATCCGAGACGAGACGGGTCACACTGCACCGCACTGCACTTCGCCCTCTGCTCTGCTCGGCTGGGCTGTTTGGCACCGTACTA